TTGGCCGGGTTATTTTTCGACCCAGATTTGTGGATTGGTACCAACAGGCCAGTGCTCCAAGAATGTGGATAGTTATTTGAACTATAAACAATATTAAAGAGTTTATGTATTGCATCTAATAAGTGATGTTCACCGTATTTTAACAATTCATTGCAAATTCTATCTTCAATGGTATTTGCAACGCTTATGTCACTCTGAATTCCTGTATGGAAGCTTTTCTATCCCTTACATCATTAATCTCATATTAATGACAATTACAAGTTGTGCTTACAAATTTTGAACTACTCATGACTGCATGTAATTAGTTCTTCTTCATCTACTTTATCAATTTTGTTCTAAACTTCTCTAGATCTATGGCACTGAGATTATACTTTTATATTTATTGGTGTTTTGGAATCTATTATGTGGCATATATGATGGCATGAATGTGTTTGAATTATGGGAAATACATCATTAATATTCAAACATGAATGATTTTCAGTGCATCTAAATGTTAGTGATCATTTCAGCTTCAACATGGTAATTAATTTGTACTTTTTCCCACCATTAAATGTATTTCCCAATATACCATAGAATTATAATACAATCTCTGACTAACAACTACAGATCAAAATGATATTGATGCTTTGAATGGCCTTCATGTCACTTATTTACGTCACAGAAATGTTTTGTTGTTAGAGGGTGTAGGAAAGGTGTATTATTATTGTCAAAACCCCAATAAATCTAACAGAACCATCTGTGAGTGCAAATTTAACACCTTGTCATTCATGCAATATGACAAAAATCATGCGTCACCCTATGTCATATGAAGGGAATTTATTGCATCATCTTGAAACCCTTTAAATTATGCTTTGAGATTATTTTTTAATATGACAGAATGCCTTGCCCTGACACTTGTGGGGTGTGTAAGTTATTGTCATGAGTGATGCGGTGTATCCTGTGGCTGTATTTTCATGGGCGAAGCCTTTTTGATACCAGATCTTGAACATGGATAGATTTTGCTCAAACTTGGTACTAATTAGTACATACAATGTATATCATTTTGTGACATAAAGCAGAATTACAATTGCCATTCTGGTGGCCATTTTGTTGTTGAAAGTGCCCTTTCAGAGCCATGATATAAATGTACATAAATGTATATGTCATGCATTTACCAATTACATTCTAACTTGATACATACTTAATTCTGCTTGAGATGCACAAATGCATTTCTTTCATTTCAGAATCAGAACTCAGGCATGCAAACTTTGTACACATGCATTCCTATATAATCTGACTATGAACTTGTATAGGAACTGTGTCATACAGTGTATCATGATTCAATCTTTTTTTCTTGGTTACCTGACATGAGTGCTTATAATCTAATCACACTGTAAATATATATCTTTTTCGTTTGTTATCACTTTGTAAAAAATATGCTAGAAATGCTAATTGTAGATCCATCAAAATCTGAGTCTAAGCAGATAGATTGAATGGATGAGACATTATTGCAGTATTACAAAACTGGTTTAGACAGTTTTCAAATGTTTTCAAATCACATCATTTACTAGCATGCTTCAAAAAGCCAGAATTCTGGACATTTGTTGCAATGTATTCAGTGTTACTGAACAGACATTTATGTACATAAATTCCCATTGAATATCATGGAAAATATCACATTGGAAACTCACTACTGGTATACAAAGAAATGTTTTGTATTTTCAACAGTATTAGGACTTGTATCTTTAACAATTGATTACGTTTCAGTCTGACAAAAGACAATTTTGAGATATGAAAAAAAAATTTCACCATAGAATATGCACAAACAAAAATGAGTTCAGTCGTTTATATAATTTAAAAGCCATATGGGCATTTGGCTACAACAAATTTTGAGCCAGTTAAACAAGTAGGGATACATGTACAAAATTTTAAGGGAAGTCAAAACCATGCAGGATTGATTACTATCTGTTCCTGGCCAAATACAGGTGTTTGCCTGGCTTGCAAGAGGGCACAAACGCCCATAATAAAATAACATAAATTAACAATTCTCAGCAGGATAATTATGCAATGGATTTTGTAGGAAATGCAATTACATTGAGATTGACTTGAGTAATCTGTGTCCACATTCCTTAGTATACATAGAATATTTACAGTCTAGATCTATGGCCTACAGGTATGTTCAGTAGTAAGACATCAAATCAAATACATATTACCTGGTTGCTGGAAAACGATGATACTAACAATGTATGCAGCTCGTTGAGTCATAACTTTACTTAAGGAGGTTCATGACAAATTGATGATTATATATCAAGTTAGTCGTACTTAAAAAAAACAGAGATAGAAGAATCCAAAATGTCATAGGAAATTGTTATAATTGGCATTTTTACACTGGTCAAAATTTTGGTCAAGGACAGGAATGAAAGAGGTCATATATTATTATTGATATGAATCCTAATATTAAAAAGTTGGTATATAATTTACATGTATAATAGTAAATCTCACACAATGTATTGCATATGTGTGCAGTAACGTGCTTGAGTGCAAAATTTGAATTCAGCTTGAACTGCTGAATTTGAAGATTATCAAACTATTTTGATAATTTTGATCAAACACAACAAGAATATTAATTTTTTCTGCAATTCTGCTAAAAATACAATTGAAATGCGTTAAGACTATAGAAGGTCCCTTAGTTCTTTTTCGTCTACAAAAATCAAGCGAGAGCAAGAGACGATTTAATTAAACCAGCCATACAGTGCTGTAATTTTGATTAGAAAGCAGTCTGTCGCCTGTAAGCTCCTCACAGTTATGTAATTAGTCTGTCAGCATTGTAGTTAAATAAACTAGAGAACAACTTCATCTTCAGGCAATCAAGTATATTGTGATGATAAATGGTGAGATTGTCAGCAAAAGACATCATGCATTTCAAGAGATCTCATTGAGATTGGAGAGATTCAAAATGCCTGACTCAATGAAATTGTTCTTGCCATCAAATCTCTCTGAACACATATTTTGCTAGTCAGGGTTGTTAAAAATTAGTGTTAAAAGAAAAAAAAAAGTTTAAATTTAAGTTAAACTGTATGCATTTGCCTCTGTGATTAATTTCTCATCTAATTCATATCAAACTTAAGCTCATTAAAGAATGTGGACATGAATTTATGTTTTATTCCAACCAATCAATCAATGTATTTAAGGTGTTCTCTGCCATTTCTCATAAATGGCTGATTCAATTTCAATCACCCTTGATATGTGACAGTACATATGAGTTTCATCAATGTTACATTGCTGATTTCAGAGTACCGATACAATATCAAAAAACATTGACATTATTGACAATTTTAGTGGTCACTCTAAAGGTGCACATACTTTTGCAGTTACACATCAACATACTACTAAAAGTCATGTTTATATATTTATGTTCTTTTGTTTGTATTCACAATTCAAATTATAGAATTCACTGATGCGTTTAAACTACTACCGATATTTTTTGTGTGTGATATTCCAATCAGGTGCATGTAAAAATTGACATTTGTGCAAAGGTCTATGGCAAAACTAATCATCTTGAATAGGAGTTTGGCGATGTTATTAATTTATTTTATGAAGCAGCTAATAAAAACTGTTTTCTCTCAGTAGATCATGACTACTAGCATGCACTCGCATACCCGGGTATATATTTTATATTTTAGTCATGTACTATGGCTACTCACAGTATTACATTTGCATACATTTTAACAGTCACTGAGGAGAAAATAATGATGCATAGCTGTTAGTATCATAATACACTTGAAATAAAGCTATAATTTTAATGAATCAGTTGCCCAGGCAGCAGTTAAGTCTGCACACATCAAAAACCCTGTTTTTTTTTATTCTTGATTAAATTTAAATTGACTTTGTTATTATAATTCCATTCAAAATGCTTGAAAGGTAGAACTGACTTTTAGGCAAACCTTTAATTTAGGAGTGGGCACACTGAAACACAGAATATTGTGTTATGGAATGGAGGTGAGTTAAATTCTGATTAGAAAAATTAGATTAACTAAGCATTTAAATGACTTTAATAGACTCTTAGTATTTGGGTTGACATACACTGTAATTTATGTGGCTATTGTGTCTGAATACCTTCCACAGAAGTACTCAACACACTTTAAAATGTTTGACTATTGTAAAAAGTTTTGTTTTAGTGAATTTGGATATGAATCATCCGTTTCTTCATATAGATTGCAAATATGTGGGTTACTGCTATTTTTTGACAACTTTTAAATCAAATGTAACATTCACTTTATTTTTGAGCATATTACATGTACTATTGTACTAAAACATTTACTTAGCTTTTCTATGAAAACTACTGGTAACTCATTTTGAAACACTTTTGATACAAGCTTCATTGTAAATAATACATCAGAAAAATACAAAACAGATTCATGATTCTATCTACATTTCTAAATTTGTTTGTTATATTGCTCACTTGTACCATGACCTACTTGAGCTCTTATTTTGAATTGAAATGTGATGAAGAACTTTCCCCACACATGTCTTGATGATCAGATAAAGGGATGAGTAACCTACCTTTAATAATGTGTTATCTCTTTTACTTTGCAGACAGACAGTGTTGTGTATATACTAGATAATCTATCTAGTAATCTTCAATGTAAAGACCAGGTTACTAATACTGTACATGATTTACCCAAGGCAGGCTTAGCCAGGTAAGTTTCCTCATCCCCATAGTTCTTCTCACTATTTATATAATGTTACAATTGAATAGAACCTGAGGCCTGCAGTCCAGTGGTTTACCTTGGTCCCCTCTTATCAGAGATAATGGGTTTGTTTCCTCTATCTAACTGTACACTAAGCAGTATAAACACTCACAGCACTAAATATGCAGAATGAAGATTGGGATACTGGCATTTTATCTGGGTGTAAAAGTGAGCCGAGGTTGGGGGTGTCATAGTACAAGACGGGTAAAAACAGTCTAGATAGATGTTGTCTGTGCAAATTACAGAACTCTAGGTATCTACACAAAGTGAATGAAATTCCTGCAGGATGATTGGCTTCTTTCTAATGTGTAGGCCTTCTGTAATGCACTGGGGCTTCCATATCTGTAATTGGGCTATTTTATCTAGTTACATTCGGTATACATTGAAATATATAAATAAATTAAGCAAGCTTTTTTTTTGTTTTCACTTGCAAGGATTAACTGTGGCCTTACCCTGCCTGTAAAACCACAAAACGTTAATAGATCATAGGGTGTGGTTTATCTTTGGTCAGTAAAGAAAATTATCTCTTCATTTCTTCACGTCTCTCTAGACCAAATGCTTTCATGTGAAGCTAGTGCAACGAACAACACATAATCATGCAATCATTAGTTTGGGTTTTCAGTATAATATCCGTGGGAGGTCACATAGCATAGTCACGAATTCATTTTTACAAATTGAGTGAAATGGAGTGCATAGAGGCTACCTTACTGCCTTATATACCCAAGATTCAATCATGATTTTTCTGGTAATCTCCACTAAGTTATAATTACAATATTACGTGACATTCGCTTTGTATTAAATTACCCATTAGACTTGCATACAGTCTCTTGTTTGTTTTTTGATGATTTTTCAATAAAATAAAATATTATGTCAGTGTATTAAATGGCAAGAGCAGGGTTACTGCAACAACCAGGTATACATTGAAACAAACAAATGTCCTCTGCTATTAATATCAAAGAGCAATTTCAATGATGTCACAAATTTCACGTAATATACATATCACAAGATTTCAGGTTTGGCGCAATTTCTAATAAACTATAATTGTTTATGAAAAATTTACTCCAATTTTGGCTGGAATATTGGTGGAATATTAATGAGCCTGTCAATCATTGCATCACACACTGAACCCCAAACCGGTGAATCATCACCGGTGATGCAAGACTCTTGTTTCTAGACTCTTGATTTTTCATTTTATTAAAACGAACAAGAGACTGTATGCAAGTCTAATTACCCAGAAGTATAACAAACTGAAATGGCTTGAATTATATACGCACCAAGTAGAAGTACAGTGTATGTATATTTAAACAATAATGAACGACCCACCAACCCATAATGGGCGAAAGCTCACTTTGTGCAACATATATGTACGAGGCGTGAGCCGAGTACATATGTGGAGCACAAAGTGAGCTTGAGTCCATTATGGGTTGTCGGGGAGTTCATTATTGTTATTATTTTGTAGCGTTGTCAATACCAGTAGATTTGCTGCCTCTAAAAAGCAGAAAATTTGGAGAAAATGTGAATGGGAGAGTTTCACAGTAACTGGCCCGTGAATCTGAATAATTTAAAATGTCTTTCTGGAAATTGTTTCCACAATCTCATATGACAAACTAAAAAAGAAACTAGTTTTAATCCATCAAATAGTATTGTATTGAACTCGTTTACATTGCGAGTGAATGAGTGAATGATGTGTGGTGTGGAGTAGCATTGCAGTGATCGCCACAGCAAACGGCACACAGTGACTGGTGCGCCATATCGGTGTTCACCATGGCCTTGCACTAGGATACACTAATTGTACGGGAGGCCGGTGATTTGACGAATACTTACAAGCATAGCGAGCAAGAGAACGAACATGGCTGGAAAACTGGTGGGTGTTAGCCATCCTAGAAGGAGAATAAATAGTCAGTTTAATCTGACTGTATAAATAAAAAAAATACACACCTGAAAACACAGATACTTTCTTTTGCTTATGCAAATTGTGTCCGGACTGTGACATTTAATGGGAGCCAGCGCTGAGGAAATACAAATCATGTTGGTCATCGTCGATCTCGTTATGCAAATTGTGTGGTACTACTCACTACAAAAACAAAACAAATTCGTCTCTCTGTACTCGTAGACATACATTGTACACCCACTTCGTTTATCACATTTGCTTGGATAAATCGCCCTCGATTAACCTCACTTCATCAACACGATAGGGCGAACTAGTCAAGAGGCCACCAGGACAACAGAAGCATCAGTTGGGGAATCTAGTAGTGCGCGTACTAGATGGAACATTTCGACCGAACACACTTTACCGTACAGAGCAAACAACGATGCCCTCACAAAATTTTCTGATTTCAATATTGAAATCCGCTGTGATTGGTAATGGACCATTTTATTTGATAACGATTTTAATATTCAATGCTTGTTATCTAACAATTTCTCTTCTTGGTTTCTCCTTTATTTCGTTTTTGAAAACAACATTGTATTCATATCCATGGCACAAGGCCTTGATGCTCAATAATGGGATACATTATCGCGAATAATATGCTGCAATGACGTCATAAAATTCACTGGTATTGATAATGCTATAATATAATTACATATAATCCTTCCAGTTATACTAAAATGAAAAATAAGATTTTCTACTAAAGTCAAATAAGCATGTCATCCCTTTAACATTAAATATTTTCAAACAGCTAGCTATAATTTTTTTGTCTGATTAAGTATTGCTGGAAATAAGTTGAACTGTCTACATTGGTGAAAGGGCTTGCACCTATTCTGTAAATGAGACAGGTCCAAGGGGTGTGAAGTGAACACCCAAGCATTGAAATACCATATTATAAAAGTGTGTGTATAAGCAGGAAACACAATATGTTTCCCATTATCAATAGTTATACCCACCTTTTATGACAGATATTTGACACATTGATACTCACAACACTTGTGTATAAAACTGCATGCCATTCTAATACAGGATATACCTGCATATGTAATATAACACTCATCCCCCTGGTTATTCAAGCTGTCTAGTACACAGTTCAGCTTAGTTCGACTTTATATGTTCCTTTTCTTGAGTTCAAAACAAGTAATGCAGACTAATACTTGAATTAAAAGAAATAAAAAATCTTTTTAGCTCTGCTGTCGACTTTGTCAAGCGGAGCTTATCATTCTCCGTGGTTGTCATCCATGTCAACTTTTTATTTTTTTGTCTTCTTCGACTTCTTCTTGAAAACTACAAACTTTGTTGCTTTGATACTTGGTGTATATATTCCTTGGGTAGACCTCTCTCAGATTTGTTCATTTTGTGATAATACATTTTGATGATACCTTCTCTAATTTTGATGAATATTTTTGTCATTTTTTGTAAAAATACAATACAATTGCTTTGATATTATACATATAGGTAGTACAGGTAGACCCCTCTCAGATTTGTTTATTTTATGATACCTTCAATTCTCTAATTCTTGAATATTTTTGTAATTTTTAGTAAAAAGTGATATTTTCAACTTGTTGAAAACTGCACAATTCTGATTGCTTTGATGTTATACATGTAGGTACCTCACATAGACCTCTCTCAGATTTGTTCATTTCATGATGATATCTTCAATTTTCTAATTTTGGGGAATATTTTTGGTAAAAAGTAATATTTTCGAACTCCGCAAGTCCGATACTATACATATAGGTAGACCTCTCTCAGATTTGTTCATTTTCTAATGATATCTTCAGTTCTTTAATTGAAATGTGCCTGTTTGTTTAAAGTTTTCTTGCAATGCATAATTTGTTATAGGAAAAATGGAAAATTTCATGGGAAACACATCACCTCTATATCTCATAGTACTGTAATTTTTAATATTTTTAGAGATTTGTTGTTGTGATTACTTTGAACTGCTCATGATCAAAGTGTTGATCTCATGCATGCCGACAGAAATCTATAATTTAGTGAAAATATATTAAAACGCTTGCAAGCGACAACTCATTCACCTATTAGTAATGTTATAGTGTACATTGATGTATAGGGAATTATTACCGACTTCTTGACTTGTATTGATTTGATTCAACTTGATCACTCTTAATGCACGTCATTTTGTATTTCAGATTGAATTCAAAATGGCTGACTGATTGATATTTTGTTTTAATATAGGCTATTCAAGAGCACATTTACATGCATTTGTCTTATGATCTGATTGAAGGTGGTTGAATGGCTGCTATTTTAATGTTGAAAATGCATCAAAATCGAGCCTTAATTCTAGGTCTGGATCTGGATGTTATTAACACTTAGTATATTCATTAAACATAATGAGACTTTCATACACGTCATTTCGTTTGTCAAATTAAAAATGGCCAACTGACAGACATTGTGTTTTAACAATGCTGTTCTAGAGTTGTATCTTGACTTGACACCTACATTTGTACCGGTATGTTGTACATCATGTCACATATTGACATGCATTTGTTCCAAGTTCTCATTCAAAATAGCTGACTCATTTAAGATTTGTTTACTATTGAACAAAATTGGCTCTATCATGTCATGACATGACTTGATGTTTTTTTGTTTATTTTGGACAGAATAGGCATAATTTTTGAAAGGTACTGAAAAAATGTTGCTGCTTTATTTTGTGAATGATGGCAAAAGTTGGTTTTGGCATTCTAAGGGTTAAAGTTTGTATGTTTATTAGTTTTTTCAGACTTTTGCTTCTCAGTGGTACTGTAAATGCATTTACTAATTATTCACTGGTTTTCAATTTCGTTATTTTCGCTGATAAGTACAATTTGCTAAACTAAATCTACATGAACGTGTAATATAGTAATATAACTCGTTGTTTCCCTGCCAAGTTTGTGAACTTGAAACCCAATGAAATACATGTATGTATATTATGTATAAACTGCTTAATTTTCACTGCTAGGAATTTTTGCAATATGATGATTTTATGGTATTCATGAACAGTTTAGAAAGTCCTATCAATTGT